GGAAAAATCTAGTTTTCATAGATTCTCTAATTCTATTAAAATTTNATGTTATTNGGACATGGATTCTACACAATTTTANTCATTGAACTCAACTTTGAAAATACCATAGATATGTTTGAGATTCTTCAAATCTATATAACCAAAATAATAATAACATACACAAATCACACAACGTGTATTAACGTTAAAAAGATCACATGTCTTCAACGATATTATAATTCTCCAACTTTATTAAACACAAATTGATATAATAATAACTCATAAAACAGTAAACCCAATACCCAGTTCCCACTGCTATTTCTTCCTCTTCACAAATCTAGGCATCATCGTCGTTGGAGTATCACACGTTTTATTCCCTCGACAAGTACTTTTATCTTCAACCATACTTTTATCTCCTCCAGTTCCATAGAATGTGTGGAATATCATAGTTAATCGTAGTTAATATGAAATATAACACAATTATTTTCACAATCATATGAACCTAATAAAATCAAACTTGAAAATAAAACCCAGAAAAACAAAGTCAACTATAATGGCTGAATGAGAATAATCATTTGAAGATAGCATAGTCTAACCAATAGATAAAATTGTGGGAAAACCAGAGAGATACATACACTGGCCGAAGGAGAAGGGGGAGAAGATGATGGGAAAGCAATATGTTCAAGTTAAAAAATATTTTGGAAACTTTCTATGATAGCATATATAATATTACCATATAAAGAGAAGTCTAGAAGACAAAAATCCATAACAATCCATAAAGTATTTGATAAGAATCTATGAGATTTGTGTTAATTCCAATAAAATTTGTAAAATTTCTAGATTTTTAAAATTTTTAAAATCCATTCCCCAATAACACCCCCTAAAGGTTCAAATAATTTAATCGATCTGTCTGAAAAAGTGGTGAAGCAAAATGAGTACGTTTGCGTTCCCTTGGACCATGCGCATGATTTCCAAAAACAGATTTTTTTTTTTTTGTTGAACTCGAAATTTACTTAATTCAACATCAAATATTGGAAGAACATATATACGGTACCACAATCAATTGTAGCAAAATACAAAGAACATTAAGAAGCTTGCTTGGCTATAACATCAGCACAAGCATAACTATCTCCACCAATATGCCTAAAGAAAGGTATTGATCCCCTGAGTCGGCTTTGGATGTCAATTATGAAGTTCTTTTTGGGCATTCCTCTGGGTATTTCATGGCCTCTATCACACTTGGAGTCACTCTCATAGGGACCTGAGTAACCCATGGACAGTCAAGAGACAGCCCATGTTTGGAGCCGTGGTGATAAGAACCACCTTCTTTATTGCTTATCAATGGAGACTACAACACAAGAACCTAGGGTTTGTTCATCTGCCCCAAAATTACGTTTAGATGCCATTACTTGCGAATGCCTGCCACAGTTGCAATTGATAGCTTCGTCATGTTTATTCCCAAAAGAAAAAGAAGAATTCAGAGGTACAACAAAGAAAAAAGGTTGGTGATGAGGTGGAGACTGATCTGGTAGAGTAGATAAAGCCTTCGTTTGTTTGGTCGAGTTTTTAGTCTTTTATGCTTCATTTGTGAAGATCTAGAAGGTGCTCCTATCTAGATCAATTAGAGTTTATAAAGTCTGTAGTGCGTTGATTGACAAGGAAACAAAAATCAGATTTAGTTCCTCCTCTTAGATAAATGACATGGAGTTTCTATTAAGTGGTCAGCACCATGGCCAGTCGTCCATCAGAATTTGTCGTTTAATTACTGGTTTTAGGACACACGTAAAACAACTCAGACTGTCAGATTCACAATCCACTCTATATAGCATATGTTTCTGCCACGCCTCGGAATGAAACCTTAAGACGAATTAGGCTTACAGCATTGGCAAGAGCTCTCGCCATTTGTAGCATATTCATCTCTTTTGAACGAACCCACCAACCATGGTTTTGCCGAAATACAGTCTCTGATACTTGTCAACTTGATGGCTGCTTCTTCCTTGGCCTATGTAGTAGAATTGGTTCACACGATAGGGATCGGAAACTTGTCCAATGTTTTAGATTGTTTCTGGGCAGCTTTGACGGCCACCACTCTTGCAGCATTGGCTGCCCTATTAGCAGTTGCAACCGCTCTGTTAACTCTCTCATCAACCTTGTCTACATCATAAGCCTTCTTGGCTGCTCTCCGTGCCTCCTGTGAATACAAATGTTTTTGGTTCAATACGAGAACCAAACGACTTGCTCTATTTTTATAAGTTCCAGGGACAAACCTGGACTGCATTTAGCACTTTGGAATTATTAACTGCGACAGGACAAGTTGCATTTCGTGTGCTTGGAATGTCGAGGATCCCATTTTGCCAGTGGCCCGACTGTGTCTCTCCGTTTCTGAATGTATACATTCCCAGCCCTTGCCGCCTACCTTCATGCCAAGCTCCCTCATATCGGTGACCATTTGCAAACCCATAGACCCCGAATCCATGCATCTTGTCAGCAAAGTATTCTCCTGCGTATATGTCCCCGTTCCTGGTTAAACAAGCAACATGGATTCATCAGATACACGTCTAGTTTCCATGACATTGTAAACAAAAGGGAAAGCATGATCCAGGACACACAAAATCAAGGAATACCGAAATCATAACCTTAGATTGTGAGGAGGAAGAATGATGTTAGCTACCTGAAATGGTAATGACCAAGACCATGCTTGACGCCCCACTTGAATTCCCCAACATAGCGACTTCCGTCTTCGCAGGTGTGAACTCCGCAACCGTGGCTCTGACCGCTGGACCACTCGCCAGAGAACATGTCTCCGGTGTAGAATCTGTAAACACCGCATCCGTGGCGAAGGCCCTGCCTATACATGCCCCTGTAGCGGCTGCCCCTGGCCCAGGTCTCAACACCAAAACCATCGTACTTGCCGTCGACCCAGTCGCCTTCGTACCTGCCGCTCATGTAATAGTAATAGACGCCGGAACCGGAGCACTTGCCCTTGAGGAACTCTCCTTGGTAGACGTCTCCGTTGCTGTAGACCTGGACCCAGCAGCCGGAGCCGGAGCTTCCCCTCTTGTCGGATTTAGGGCGAGAGCCGATGGACCAGAAAACGGGCAAAGGGGTCCGAGAAGGGGAGGGGAAGGAGCGAGAGAGGAACAAGCGGATTGAAGGGAGGCGAGGGAGGGCGAGATGGAGGGAGAGAAGAAGCGCGGCGGAGAAAGCAAAGGCGGAGAAGAAATCGACAAGGAAGGAGCGAGTGGGATGGGAGAGGAGGAAATAGGAGAGAGGAAGGAGGAGGAGGAGGAGAAAGAGAGGGAAGCGGCGGAGAGAGTGGGAGAGATACGGCCGGGAAGGACGAGATAAGCGGCGGTGGGTAAGGAGAGGACGCTTGTAAGGGGCGGCCGGGGAAGAGGAATCAC